AAAGGAGACGTAGCTGGCACACTGGCAGCAGGAGCACTAGAAGTCGCAAAAGAGCCCTGCTGTGCTGGTGCGGCAGACACAGACGATCCGCCACCACCGAGGGGCACGCCCAGCGGAACACTGTACAGAGGACTCGTCGGTGAGAGTGGCGTGGCCTGGGAACCGAGCGAAGATGCACCCTGCGATCCCAGCAGCGGTGTGGCCTGTGGGCCGAGCGATGGTGTAGCGACACCTGCATTTGTGTTGGGAGACTTTAGGAATGGATTGTTCGTCGAGGACCCAGCGGTAGGCGATTGTGGCGCACCGACAGCAGGCGTTGCAAAAGGCGAGGTGGCTCCATGGGCCGTCGTAGCCGCGGGCGCCGCATTACCAGCGCCGTATGAGGGCGTCTGGGACGCGCTCATGTCAAGACCGGCGAGATCTGCGAATGCACCCGCCGGTTCTTGCGCATGGGCAAGAAAGGGATTATTTGTGTGAGAGTCCATCGGGTAAGCTTTGGGCAGGCCGTGCGCTCGAGTCCCTTAGCACAGCCACGTGGATTTTTGTTGCGCCACCAAATTAACTGCAAATTAGCTGTGATACCAAACAATCTGCAACTGAGTGGGTTTTCTGCTTCTAACTAGCAATGACAACACTCGAGTCTCTGCCTGAAGATGTCATTGATATTGAAGTATTTGGGCAGCTCCTTGAAATGGACGAAGAAGACGAGCGGGAATTTTCTCAAAGCCTAGTCTGGAACTACTTTGAGCAGGCCGAGTCCACGTTTGCGAGTATGGACACTGCACTGTGCGTACGATGCTAACAAGTGCGGAGAAGAACCTCCAGGAGCTTTCCACGCTCGGACACTTCCTCAAGGGCTCATCTGCAGCCGTTGGAGTGATAAAAGTTCGTGACAGCTGCGAAGCCATGCAACACTATGGCAAGCAGTTCGATGCTGATGCCGACTCGCCCATCGATGAAGAGACTGCATTGTCTAAACTTACACAAAGGTTGTCTTCCGTCAAAGAAGAGTACCGGGAGGCTGAAAAGGTACTCCGCACGTTCTTTGGCGCATAAGTCGTCCCATAACTCAATGTAATATTGCCATGATCTCGCATGCAGCCTGCCTAGCTGCGCTTTCGTCTGCCCCCCATTCAGTCCGAAGCAGGAGCTCCTCGGCAGCAGCTGTCTTCCCGTTTGGCTCCATCAGCTGCATGGATATACAGAGCGCCTCACTGGTTGCAAGCCGCACTGCAGGATATTTGTGCCCCAAAAACATCGACAACGAGTCCACTCCGTGGCCGTATTGAATAGCCCCAGCAATAAACCTTGCACACGCCAATAGACGAGGCATACTCTTTATCTTATCGGGTGAAATCGAGGCCAGACGGACGAGGTGTGCGAGAGCATCGCTGATTCCTGCATATGCACGGCCGTCTTGGATGAGGTAATATGCAGTGCGCAATAGTGCAACAAACTCCCGGTTGTCGCGTACGGACGACGCGGCGAGTCGGCTGATTCCGCCAAATACTGCCCTGGCAGACGGCATTGCAGCTAGTAGCGCATTGGCAGCCTCATTGCCCAGCGTCGCAGAAAGGCCGCCAATCGTATGTGCGAGTCCGCGCAAGAGCGACAGTCGGTACTCGGCAACGTCGAGGAGCGGAATCGCCTGTGCAAACGAAGCAGGCCTGTGCGAGAGGCCCGCGAGCATGTCTCTTCCAGGCACGTCACGGCGTCCTGCGATGCGCGCCAGCTGCACAGCGGCCTCGGTGCGCACAGTGTCAATGCGCTCCACGAGCTGCGTCGACATTGCAGCACATGCCTTTTGCACAGCCTCATTCGGCACCGTGCGTAAAGTAATTATATCGCCCAAAGCCTTCATTGATGCAATTCGTACCCATGAGCCGACATCACCACGCTCGTCAACTGCATAATCATGCAGGCCATCCGTGAGCTTGTCCACGGCAGCCATAACATGCTCATCGCTGACGTGTCTGCCCACAGCCCCAAGCGATGCAGCTGAATTCGCACGAGCCTCTGCGTCAGACGAATCAGCCATCGAGATCAAACGCGTGACCACTTGGTCGGCATGTGTAGATGCAAGGGCTCCGAACGCTAGAGCCACACACCGCTCTTCTTCAACAGTGTCGCATGTAGCTGTGGCTGTGGTTGTGATGTATGCGTCAGCCGACGCCTCGTGCCGCAACGCATACACCAGCTCACAGACCGCTTTGTGCACATCGCCCTCTGGTCGGCGACTCGCTGTGCGCACAAGCTGCCACATGTCGTCAATGTATCTGGCGTTATCTCCCTGCTGCCATCCACTCGCAGCTGCAGTGCATGCACTCGCGATGATGAGCGACACACCATGCACGACATGCATCTTGGGCGAGACACTCACCACAATCTCGACGGCGCATGGAACTTGCATACGCAGTGCCAGCTGGTGCACTGCGCACAGTGAGCCATGCACAGCCGCACTATCGAGCGAACGAGCTGCTTTTCTGTGCTTTTCCAGCACAAGAGGGAGCAGCTCTTCATGCGCCGCAGCAATCTCCGCCGCAGCCTGTGCCCCAAGTGTGCGCACCGATACGTCCCAGTGGCTGAGGCACGAATTAACGAGGTGGCTGTGTATCTCCGGCATAAAGTTTGAGAAACGCGCAACGAACGGCGCACACACCAAGTATGCATTCCGCCGGATCCCAACAGCAGCAAAGTCTGTTTCTTTCATGGCCTCGATGCCATGGGGAACGAGCGAGGTCCGGCCGACCCATTCCTGGAATGCGGCACTTGCCGCTCGTCTGATCGTGACTTCTCTGTCTAGCGTCATCACAACAGCTAGCCTAGCAGACACAGCTTGGGAAACGGGTTTTAAGTCGTCCACACGCAGTCGTGCTGCAGCCCAAAGGACGTAGCACGCTGCATCGCGGACATTGGTTCCAATCGCACCTAGTCCACGTCGCTGCTCGAAAAAGAGCGCACGGAGCACAAAGTACATGGCACACGTAAGCATATCGGCCGGAACAAGCGCACGACGCGTCACTTCGGCCAATGCGAGCAGGGCGCCATTCCACGTTGAATCGGACACTGCATCAACTTGAGCCGCATCTAGAGCTCCCTGGACATCGGGGTCATATGCTGTGCCTGACATGACCGCTGCGGGTACATTGGGGATATTGCTCGCCATCAGCTCAATGACCACATTAATGACTTGAGCGGCAAAGTATCGTGGTATCTTGGCACAGATTCGCGCAATGCCTTTGGCGCCGCTATAGCGCACAGCTGAGTCGGGGTGCTGCACGGCACAGATCAGTTCATCAACCAACACATCAACACGTTCGTCAACATTATTCGGCATGCTGTTGTGCTCGATGATCCGCAGGGCCAGCCTGCAGGAGAGCTTGGCCCGATATCGATCAATAAGGGTATTTTGTCGGCCAAGGGGGATATATTCGTCGAGCAGTGCAGCCATGTCATCCACATGTGTCTGCACGAATGATGCATCGCCATTCTTGGCAATGGTACATAGAGTCTGTAGTATACCTGTCGCCTCGAACGCGCTGCTGCCGCTGCGGAGCCGTTCTCGGGCCCAGTCCAAAAAACGGAAAAAGTGCACGCTCCCGACGTCTCGGCGGCGATACAAGTTGCCGAGAAGTGTGGCTGCGGCGTCTCGCTCGCGGCCTGGCCGAGCAAGAAGATCGCGCGCGACATTCTCCACCTGCTCTGTGCTTGCAATATCATTCAGCGAGAATGGCACGAGGCAAATGAGCGCGAGCCAGAGTATTAGGACGTAGATGACATGCCATGCAGCTGGAGCTGCCGTCTCGAGCAAATTTAGGACAGGAAGCAGGTCGTCGACATTGTTGGTAAAGAACAACACTTGTTAGCACAGACGCACAGACAACTTTTGGCCCTCGGACCTTTGTGTATGCATAGAGCAAACGACAGCAAAGTGCTAATGGCCGACTGGCAAGGGTATCAGGTGTTTGTGTGTGGCTGCGCACGTACTTTTGCACAGCTTTTGCGGGAGGAGTGACTAGTTCAGCGAGAACAGGGTCTAATAGATACGGCTGCTCTTGATAAACGTCGAGGCGCGCCTCTAGTCGCCGCAATGAATGCTCGGCTGCTGCAATGTCATTGCTAAGAGCCTCTGTGATAAACGCCTCTTGTGCCTCGAGGAACCCATGCTTGTCCTGGAAACTAACTAGCTCGGCAACTTCTGCATCCAACGACGCATCGCATGCGTCGCCCATTAAAAAGCAGGCGTGGAGAAATAACACTCCACAACCATGAGTGGACCACCACAAAATGTCGGCTCGCGGTTCGTGAGCCAGGCACAGCTCACAGAGGCGCAAAAGCAGCGCGAGCAACACATGAGAGAAGCATATGAACGGTGCGTTTGTACTGACCAGCATTGGAGAAGCTCCGCCAGAAGTAAAGGAAGAACACGATACACGGCCACTCTTTGAACGACTTGAGGAGCAGCGGCAACTAAAGCAGGAGCGCATCGACGAGCTGTTTGCACGGGCAAACAAGTACCGTGGTCTTGACGAGCATGAGGCTACATTTCTCGCAGAGGTCGAGCTTGGACGCAGACTGAAAGAGGTGAATGAGCGTAATGACGACCTAAAGAGACTCGAAGAGTTCAGACTGTACGTTCGTTTACTGACCAGTGCGGCCGAGCAGCGGATGATGCAGACACCTCCGCCGCCAAAGGTGGTGCCGCAAACACGCAAGGGCGGTGCAGCCAAGCGGAAACGTGACGCTGCAGCAGCTCTTGGTGTAGTCCGAAAAGACGACAAGAAGCCCAAAGGGGATCAGAATGCATCCAAACAAAATGAAGCTACACCCACTAGTCCAAAACAAGATCCAAAAGAAAAAAGCACACATAGCCACAGCAGCGGCGCTGCATGATGCAGCATAATTATACCATTGTACAGCATTCATAGAGCTCGTGTGACGACACACCAAGGAGCAGCACCTATTCTATTGTGTAGCAAAAAGAGTAAGCGCAAAAAGAGTGACCACGACCAGGCTCGAACTGGCGACTTTGGAGTATACTAGTTGTAGTATTAGCTCCACACTCTAACCAACTGAGTTACGCGGTCAGCCAAAATGCTGGCAGAAGTAGCTATATATTCATTCTCCCTTGTATCTAGTTTTGATTAGCTGTGGACATGCGCATGAATTTTATTAGTGAATGACGTGCAGGCTTCAACTAGTAGTTTGACATGTACCATTGCTCCAAATAGTAGTATCTCGTTTCAATTAATGGTTGACACACCGATGTGCTATGCCTTATTTGCCCTACTCAACTCTTGCACTAGTGGATGTCCTGCAGTGAGTGCATAGCCAATAGTGCGTTGCTTGAAATCTACGCCCAGCTCAAGGAGGCTGATAATATCGTCGAGCATGTGTGCCTTGCCAGATACGGCCCCTGGGTGCTGGGAATAGTCAGCGGCGAGGAGGTGTACATGAAAGTGGAAGAACGTAGGCATGTAGTGCACAAAGCAACGCAAGGTGCCGAACGCCTCATCTGCGGCAACGAGACCAAACTTTTCCCTTGCGACACGCTCGCCCTGCTCCTTAATCTTCTTGAGCATAGGGACATGTTCCTTGCGCAGGTCACGTAGAGTCGCAATGCTGCGGTCACGCACAATTGCAGTCAAGTAAAGCGACGAAACTGTGCGACGGTCCCATTTGAGGTCTGGGAGGAGCTGTTAGCGGCAACGTACCATGAATCCAGTCTGCTCATCGTCGTCGCTGTACAGGACAGACTCTTGCTCTGAGATACCCTCAAGAATATTGTACACCCACTGCTTCTTTTTTGCAGGAATCGATGCGATCCATGGCTCGGTGACATTCTTGTACACCTCGGGCGTCTCAAGCACCATATATGTGTCGCATGCACTGTACTTGGCCACCACATCATCACTCGCGGGGCAGATAAGCGTCATCTTGGTATGAGCATCTGTTCCACCGAGCCAGCCAAACTCCCACGTATAAATGTCATTCTGTCCGATACACTCGAGACGCTCAAAAGCCGAGCCGTCACGGAGCCTATCGATAAAGTTGCTCGCAAAGTGGGTTTTCTCGACCAACAGGACTGCCTGTGTGGCATTCCCATCGATCTGGCACTCGCCCAGCACATTCACTGTACGCGCACGTGGGTCTTCATTCAAGACGCGTTTAGGCTTGAATTCGTGCAGGGACATGGTATAACCTCCACGTCATGGATGCTCTGTGCGTAGCCGCTAACAGATCCCAAATCCCGCGCGTAACTCGCGCTCTTCTCATCGGAGAAGCACTGGTGACGCTTCCCTGCCTCCTTGGAATCTTGCCCATCTACAAGATTGTGCTGTTCTGGCCGCTGGTCTTGCGCAAGGAGATTTGGCGAGTGGCTACTGCATTCTTGTATGGTGGCAAGGACCTCACGCTGCTCTTCAACACGGTGTTCCTCTAGTGCGTTGCGGCTAACAGTCGTGTGTCTTCTTCTATCGAAAAGGACAAGTTCCTCAATAACTCTGCGGACTATGCATGGTGCCTGATCGTCATCGCGGGCATGCTTCTCGGCCTCAACTATCCCCTGGAGACGCCGATATTCTTCCATCCACTTGTGACCGCGCTTTCTGTAAGTGCTTGCTAACAGTACCTGTGGTCGATGCACATTCCAAACGCTCAGGTCTCACTCATGGGCGTCGTCACGCTCCCTGCGCGCTACCTTCCCTACGCGAACTGCGGCATTGACCTTCTTATTGGCGGCCCTGCACTGATGATTCAGTCCCTCACGGGCATTGCCGCCGGTTTCATCTGGGACGCACTGCGCGATATGCCACGCAGGCGGCGTGTATCGCACGGACAACAGCGTCTGGTCACGCTGCTGTCCCCCCTGTTCAACACGCCTCGTTTCATGCAGCGCCTGTTTGGTCCAACTGGTCTGCAACGGACATCGTTTGGCTACGCTGGTCGCACCACATCCCAATCATCTAGCTGGGTCCCATGGATAAGCAGGGGACAAGCAGTGGGTCGTTCGAAGCCTGCATCGGACAAGCCCGACCGGGCAGCTCTTGCTGCAGCTGCCGAGGCGCGTCTGCGTGCGAAGAAAGACTAGGCCTGTGCTTCGAAATAATATATAGATGAAAACAAAACAAAATTACACTAGTCTACTTGGGGTCCTTGTAAAACACGCCCTGCTGGAGGACGGCGAGCTGTGCGCCCAGCGCCCAGCCCAGTTCAAAGTCGCCGATCTTCTTGGCAAGTGTAATATAGCGTGAGCCGTCCAGCTCATATCCGAGGCTGAAAAGCGAGTACATGTATGTGAGGTCGAGACAGTGCTCTGGACGGCCACGGAGCTCTTCCAGAGCCTCGTTCGAGAACGGTGGCGACTCCTTGTCCCAGTTCTCAGGGGGTGCGCATACACGCTCCGCCAGCGTCTTGAGCTCCTTGATCGTGAATGTGGGGCCGAGTCCAAGAGGTGCGATGCGGTCATAAAAGTAGGAGAGAGCAATGATTGACGAGTGACTGAACGTGTCGCGCATCGAAGGCTGGTATTCACCTGCGAACGAGCAGGGGCGTGTGTGGCAGACAGCGTCCTTGTCAATCATCACCTCGACCAGCCGGCGGCAGGCATCGAAGCCGCCGTCGGTGCCGACAAACGTGACCTCTGCCTCGCGAGACTCTTCTGGCTGACGGATTTTGACAGTCTTGCGTGTGCCCTTGGCAAAGCATGGGCTTGGGATCTCGGTGTTGTTTGGAGACATGGCAGTCCATGGAAGGACATCTGCAAAGCGGTTGTCCGGACGGATGGTGTCCGGGTGGCGCAGCGTGTGGGCAAACGCGACGAGGGAGTTGACGGCCGTGCGAGCTTCCTTGAGGCCGTAGCCAAGATAAGACTTTTGGTAGAGAGTGAAAGACTCGCCCTCAAAGTCATGGAGCTTGTAGACATGCTCGCCTGGCTGCATTGCAAGGTCGATGTTACCCTGCGACTGAGGCTCAAACACGATCTGTGTGGAGCCACCGCCGAGATCGAGCACGGCCGCAGTGCGACGCGTGCGCCCGTTCTTTCCCTTGTGCTCGCGCGTAGGAACGTCGCCAGCGCCAATGAGGTTGAGCAGATAGTTCACGGTAATCCAGGCATAAACACCCTCGTCGCGGCCGTTCATGATCTCGACACCGTCACCAAGGCTGTGGCCCGACTCGTCAGTGCTGTCAGCAACAGGGAACGGATACTCATTCTCCAACAGCGACCGGGCGGCCTTGATTACCTCGCTGCTTGCCGTGCCAGGCAACAGACGGAGGCCAGCTGTGGCCTTCAGCGTGACAGGGGCATACCGCCAGAGATCCTGCGGGATAGTCTTCTTTGCTGCATCGAGCAGAGGACGCAGCGAGTGTGCGGCCCTGGCAGCATCGCCGGCATACGAGGAGCCAGCCGGGGCGTCGCGGTTAATGTACGAGGAAAGACCGGGCTCGACGTGCTCAAACACCTCAGACTCGAGCTCAGGCGAAGCACCGCAGTAGTTGAACTTGTAAACGTGAATGCGACTGCCGGTGCTGCCGGCATCGATCATCATCGCGTACTGCACGAGCTGGCGGAGAGCGCCATTTTTGTCGATCTTTGGTGGGGACGACGTGCAGCGCGAGGTCTTGTCTGGGAGCTGATGCAGCGCTGGTGGCTTGCGTGCTGCATTCGCCAGATCCAGAGGCGAGTCGCCGTGGAGAGAGAGGTGAGGCAGCAGAGGGAGCGACAGGTCGCTCCAAGAAAAGTCTCTGCCGAGCTCAGCCGCCTTGTCTTGGAGCGCAGTGGAAACACTGCCGTACATCTGAAACGGTATGAGCACAACGAGTGCGATTATCAAAAGCGCCATGATGAGAACGGACTTGCGTGCGCGCACGACACGTTGCAGCAAAGCACTAAACCGAGCCATGGCGCGAGATGTTCGCTCACGTGCACGTTCGGGAGAGGGTGTTGAGGTAAATCAATAGATCCATCGGTACAGCAATAGCTGCGACTATATGGCTAGATGAATTGATATAAAGCCAGACATAAGTGAAGTGGGTATGGGCAACACCCAGCCGGCAGCCTGTCCGGAGTAACGTCGTGGCATTTAAAGCACCACGCACTTGGACTTACCCCGGCTGCCGCGAGGCTTCTGTATGAGGGCAGCACGAGTGGCATGCTCGAACACTTCCCGCACGCCCTCACCGGTCTTGGCACTGCACTCGAGATAGCGGACAGCACCAATCTTCGACGCCACAGCCATACCCTCGTCAGGTGTCACCGGCCGCTGGCTAGTCTTGCGCAGCTCCTCAATGATGCGGGGGTCGTGGCGGAGGTCCTTCTTGCAGCCGACAAGGATAATCGGCAGGTTTTGGCAAAAGTGCAGCACTTCAGAGATCCACTTTTCCTGCACATTGTCAAGACTGTCGGGCGAGTCAACAGCAAAGCAAATCAGGATAACGTGCGAGTCAGGGTACGAGAGGGGACGCAGCCTATCGTAGTCCTCCTGACCAGCGGTATCCCAGAGCGCGAGCTCAACGTGGCGGCCGTCGACTTCGACATCCGCAACATAGTTCTCGAACACAGTAGGCACATACACCTCGGGGAAAGTGCCCTGTCGTTAGTTATACACTCACCTTGCTGAAGACGATCAGCAAGCAGGTCTTGCCGCAAGCACCGTCGCCAACAATGACCAACTTGCGGCGCAGTTCAGACATGGTTCAGTCCTTAATGGAGTGTGACGAGGGAGGGCAGTGCGGTCTGCCTGGGCCGATTCAGCGCTCGGGGGGGCGGCGATTTCGCGCCAGCTGGTTGGCCAGTCGACTATGCATGCGCGTGCTTAGATTCCACTTACCGGGTTTTACTTGCAATATTGGCCAGTCATCTTTGGTTTGGTGCTTATTCGGCCGCAAAGCTGACACAACATCCTGTGAAAATATACTCTGTGGTTAATTAATCCTTCTAGAAGACAACGCAACAGCAACGGTGGCTATAGTATAGTGGTCAGTACGTATCGTTGTGGATGGTGATCCACCACAGCAATATCCGATGAGACGCCGGTTCGATTCCGGCTAGCCACACGTTTAGTGGCTATAGTATAGTGGTCAGTACGTATCGTTGTGGATGGTATTTCACCACAACAATATCCGATGAGACGCCGGTTCGATTCCGGCTAGCCACACTTTTTCGATGTCAAACCTCTGTTTTGTTGCCACTCTCAAGTGCCTTTGTTTTACAGAGAATTTGCACCATCTGTTGGTATTGTGTCTCCCTTTCGTTTTTGTTTCATTGCCCTGGCAAACCAAACCACCTACTTGTTTTTCGCAGTATTATTATTGTCACTCACCACCTACCAGTCAGCTTGTCAGATCTATTAGCCCCATACCATAGTGCGTTTTCTCCACAATATTACGTGTTGCTTATGTGGCACGGGCAGGCAAACCAGGCGCGTGAGCTGTCTGTCTGTTGCACGTTACAACACCATGGTGTGTACGCTCAGCTAACATAGTCGTCCGGCGTCAAAGTGAACCAGGAATGTCTGGAGCAGTTCCAGGCGCTCAAGCTGCGCAAGAACGTGAAGTTCATCATCTATACTCTTTCGTCTGACAACACTGAGATTATCGTTGGCAAGACCAGCGACTCGACCAACTTTGACGACTTTGTGACTGAGCTCCCCCCCACCGAGTGCCGCTACGCTGTGTACGACTTTGAGTACCAGAAGGGAGATGAGGGCACCCGTAACAAGATTGTCTTTGTCTCTTGGTCGCCTGATGATGCCAAGATCAAGCAAAAGATGCTCTACGCCTCGTCCAAGGAGGCTATCCGCAAGGCGCTTGTCGGTATTTCGACTGAGATCCAGGGCACTGACCTGAGTGAGGTGACCTACGAAACTAGTGAGTATATGCTAACAGTCCTCGACAAGGTGTCTCGCTCGACCTACTAGATGTCCAAATAATCGTCTAGCTGCTATTACAACCCCATCCCGACCAGTCCGTATTGGGATTCCGTGCCGACCAGCGGCAGTGTCTGCCATTTACAAACCCATCGCCTAGCCAGCGTTGGAGAATCAGTGCTGCGACATTCTTGGCGCTTATCACACTTGCTTCCATGGTCGAAATCAGTGGCTCGATCACACTGACGTGATAGAGACCAGTGTCGATCTCGAACGAGCGTCTCTTTGCGTCGCGTGACATGTCGGGGAAGGCATCCCATTCCTTGCGATGAGTCCATACGACCGTGCCAAACATGTCAGTGAGAGTCGTGTCGTCCAATGCACGGTGAGAAAGCACTCGCACAATGTACAGCGTGCCAAGTTGCTTTCGGTGCTGCTGTGGCGAGAGCTCGCGGACGTAGCTCAGCGATATCAGTGGCGTTTGCGTGGCGTTTGCTGCACTGATGCTTGGCGCAGTGAGAATAGTCTGGGGCATGTCAGAGTCACTCCTCGCTTGGCCAAAGAACGACGCTTTGGGTCGGCTCTCAGTGGTGGCCACTAGTGTTACATGCACTGGACGGTACGACACCATGTGTATCATCTTGTCAGTATTGAGCAGTGCAATCCCAGAGAGTGACCAGGGTGTGGCAACCACGACAGAGTCAAACGTGCTTCCATGGCCGTCGGCAGTGCCGACCCACCAGCCCTCGCTGGTCTTCATTATGCCAGTCACAGTACCGGAAGCTCCCACGCGCACAGCAGCCCCACTTTCATTGACCATGCGCTCAAAGAGCAGATGGTTTCCGTTGCGTACGTGTCGAGATTCACTCGATTTGAACGCGTACAGACCAGCAAACGCATTAATCTGGTCAATGTTGTGTGCGAAATTGACCCTTGTAGTGGCAGACGCCATCTCATTCGTAAATAGCTCAGATATGCCTTGCTGTGCGTAATACTCGTTTGCCGACTGGTTTACCAGGCCCCCTGGCAGCACAGCGTGGGCTAGTTCTGCTGCAGAGGACCAAGGGTAGCCAGAGTACGGTGCGGGGAGTCTATTGTCGCCTCCCCGAACAGGACGCTCGTGCAGAAACTGCGGCGAGTATACGCGAGAAAACGACTTGACGGCCTCACCAAGGAGCTTGAGCACATTCGCCGGGCTCCTCCCGTAGCGCCACAGCAGTTTTGTTTGGCTCCACGTTGAGCCGTCATTCTCAATAACAAACTCTTTGCCATTCCACACGCCAACATGCTTGGCGAGACGTGTCTGGTCGGACGACCAGCGGAGGCCAAACGAGGAAATGGCACGAATTAGAGTTTCGTCGACGTCATATACAAGGCCAGCGCCAATTTCAACACGCTCGAGACCTGGGTCATCTAGGGGGTATATGGCTTCAACGCGTCCGCCAACACGACTGCGTTCAAACAGTGTGACATCAAGTGTGCGTTTAGGGCACGCGGGATTTGTGGCGAGCTGAGTCTGAGCAGCTCCGAAAAAGTAGGCTGCACTGGCACCCGATGGGCCGCCGCCAACAATAGCGACCCTGTGTGTGTCTCCGCCAGGCTCTACCGGGCATGAGCCAGTAGTGAACACAAACTGTGGCGGAGCGGCCCAAGCGAGCCCCACAAGCACGCTGAGCAATATTGCGCGCATGGTGCTGCACGTTTACAAAGCCCGTGCGAGTGGCCTGATCTTTAAACCATGACGGCCACCGCGACTTCGCTGCTTGCGCCTCGGACACATGAATATGAGTTTGGTGGGCCGCTTGGCGCATTGTTTGTCTCGATCACCGTTCCGTGCACCATGTACTACTTTGTATTTGGCTGCAACGAGCAACTGGGCTGCGCGCTGACGCTACCAGTGACCGACTGGGATGGATTTGCCGCTGCTGCGCGCGACACTATTGTCACAGGCTTCACTGACAAAGCTGCCTGGTTCATTTACTATGGCTGGTATGCATACACTGTGTTTGCGTGGCTCATTCTGCCCGGAAAGTGGGTGCCTGGCCTGCCACTTCGCACCGGCGGCCAGCTGCAGTACAAAATTAATGGTGCGTATGTGCTAATTAGCGCTCCCAACTGCTTTCTATGCGCTTGGTGTAGTTGCTGCAATCATCTACAACTACGGCCCCCGTGCAATGGCGACGCTCTACGTCCACTGGCCTGGCCTTCTCTCTGCCGCACTGACTAATGCAGTTCTCCAGGCCATTTATGTGTACGTTGCCTCGTTCCGTCCGAACAAGCTGCTTGCTCTGGGTGGAAACAGTGGAAATGTCATCTACGACTGGTTCATTGGGCGTGAGCTGAACCCTCGCATTGGCCTGTTTGACATCAAGACGTTCAACGAGCTTCGACCCGGTCTTATTCTCTGGATCCTGCTCGACATTAGCTGCCTTTGCTACCAATATGTGAGGCACGGCTTTGTGTCTGACAGTATGATCGTCGTTGTACTGTGCCACACGTGGTACGTGCTCGACTCGCTGGTCAACGAGCCGATCATCTTCAGCCAGATGGACATCACCACCGATGGCTTTGGCTTCATGCTCAGCGTTGGCGACCTTGCATGGGTGCCGTTCACCTACTCGCTTCAGGCACGCTACCTTGCATTCGAGCCTGTGCACCTCGGCTTCCTTGGCATCCTTGGCGTCGTTGTTGTTCAGCTGGTGGGCTACTACATCTTCCGCGTCGCCAACAACGAGAAAAATGAGTTCCGCAAGGGCAACAATCCCAAGAGTATGTACCAGTGTGCTGACGAGACCTTCGTTACATGACTACTTCCACGGGGAGGAAGTTGCTCACCAGCGGTTGGTGGGGCGCTAGCCGCCATCCAAACTACCTTGGCGACTGGATCATGGCTTGGGCCTGGTGCCTGCCGTGCGGTTTCGGCTCGCCTATCCCCTACTTTTACGTCGTGTACTTTGCCATCCTTCTCGTCCACCGCCAGCTGCGTGACGAGGAGGCGTGCCGCAAGAAGTACGGCAAAGAGTGCGTATTTAATGCTGACAACAGTTGGGACACATATGTGCGTATTATATGCCTTTTTGCTGACCAGTGCAAACTCGTGCCCTATCGTATCATCCCATACGTGTACTAGACACAGCACAAGCCCACGTATGATAGTAATACAAGAGGTGATGCAGTGATATTAGAGTATGGACCTACTCTAAAGGCGGTCACGCTTGTACTGCGAGGTGAACTCGCCCTGGTTAGCATATCACGCACGTTGATATTGAGGAGCTTGTACTGGGTGCCCTCCTTAATGTTGTTCCAAGGGGTGGGGTTGTTGGTCTTGTCCCAAACAACCTCAGGCGACTTGGCGCAGCGGAGCACGTTCCAGGTGGCAGCACCGCAGGCAAGGCCGGTAATCACCACAATGGGGATAACCTCAGGAACGAACCCGGTCAGCAGAGACGCACCACTTCTTGAACGAGTTCTTGGCAGCGTTGGCAGCAGCAGGTCCAGCCATGGTAAAAGTTGGATAGAGTACGCTCTGTCCGCGCGGCTATGCCCGGAACCCGTTTCGGCCGGGGCCACGTGCAAATGCATTATCTCTCTCCATACTGACAAATAAGCAATTAATGAATCTCATTAACATGACAATTAACTAGCTCTCGGGGGCTCCGCTGTGGACGGGGCCAGTTACAGTAAAGTCAGTTCCATTCTTGCCGTAGCACACGGTCTGGAACTTGGACGCATCGTAGGCGTACTTCTCCAGGTGGCCGACGAAATCATCCAGCTTGCAAAGTCCGTCCGCACGGCCTTCACAGCCCTGACCAGCGTCCAGAGGAAGAAGCGCCTCGTTGACCTTGACACGGATGTAGTCGGTGCCATCGCACTCGAGCACTTCGAAGAAGAAGCGCGCAGCGAATGGCGTGAGACGGCTGGTGCGGAAACGGCGATTGGGGTCGGGCTTGGTAGGGTCCATCCAGTCGGCAAACTGAGTAAAGTTGAACGCTGTGAGAATGCCGATCATGACAGTGTCATGCGTAAAGTCTGCATAGAGCGGCTGGTGCAGCGGGAAATACTGGTCCTGCTGGTCAATTGTGCGGTTCTGGGACGACTGGGGGCCATCGAACTTGCGGTGCTGGACGCGGCTCAGGAACTCAGTGACATAGCCGATACCCTGAGCACGGCCAGTCGGAGCCATGAATC